CCTGTCGCTGTACTTCAGCTTCTAGGGCATACATCCTCACTTCAAATCTGTCTGCTTTCTGCTGCAAGTCTCAAAACTGTGCCGCTTTGTGGGGTTTCTGGACCATGTTGGCTCACAGTGCAGCGAGCAACAGCCAGACCCCATTCAACAGGAAAGTGGCCACCAGGCACCACATACTCAAAGGTAGCCACACTTCCTCCCCCTCCCAAGGGGTTTCCTGCTTCTTTACCTGCTTGTCATCCCTCAATGACTACTCAAATTGCTGGGCTCTTTTACCTGCCCATAATCCTGCCACGGCTATGCAAATTGCTAGGCTCTTTTACCTGCCCATAATCCTGCCACAACTATGCCAATTGTAAAGTAAGGCAAATCATAACTAAAGTCAAGATGTTTCATTATCTGTTATCTTAGTTATTCTAAGTTTCCACTTATATTGTCAGAGCTAGGGCTCAGACCCTCCAAACCCATTGTACAGACTGGTCCCACTGTACATCTTACAGGTCCGGCAGTGGCCTTGCAGAAGTTCCTGGGGGCACTAACAGCAGCCTCCAGCAGCAGTAGGGGCATCCTGGGACTGGAAGGCGCCCGTGGATCAGAGCCACTCATCCTTATACTTAAGTCCATAACCCAGGACACCTGGGTGCACATGCATAATTACACTAGACGATAACCAAGGAACACCTAAGCACATATGCCTGTTTACATCAAATGCTTGGCAAGATTCTGAACATCTGAGGGGCCCTGACCATTTTCCCTATATTTTCCCAACAGTAAATAATACCTTAGAAAGGGAATCAAATATTGAAAATAAACGCTGTTGATTTTTATGGGCAATTAGAATATCACCCATATGATGGATGATATATGCCTGAGGATATTGGCATCATAAAGACTCAAGAACATTAGAAATATATTTTTGACATAATGTAGGACTATTAGCCATACCTTGTGGCAATGCCTTCCATTGATATCTTTTCACAGAGGCTGGAAAATTAAGAGGGTACACTAAAAGTGAACCGTTCACAATCTGAAGGAGACAAGGGGATAGAAAAGAAACAGTCCTGCAGGTCCAGGACTATTAAATAAAATGAAGCCAGGATGGCTATAGGAGACAGAAGGCCAGGTTGTAAAATGCCTATGGGTTTCATAAATGCATTAATAGCTCAGGGGTCTTGCAAAAGTCTACACAAGCCAGATTGTTTCTTAATGACAAAAATAGAGGTATTCCAAGGACTATTAGAGGGCTCAATATGGCCCTTTTGAAGTTGATCTTGAACCAAATTTTGACATGCAAGCAATTTCTCCTGAGTAAGGGGCCACTGATCCACCCATACAGGTGTACCTGAGATCCAAGAAATTGGATCAGCAGTGGCAGGAGATATTAGGGCCCCCATTATAAAGGGGTAGAGGAATCGTGCAGAATTTCATTGGGACTCAATAGTAAAGCTCCCATTTGCTGCAAGACATCACGTCCCCACAAGTTAATAGGTATAGAAGAAAGCACATAGGGATGAAAAATCTCGGAATGGCCTTCATTGTCAGTCCAAGTGAGGAAAGAGCTTCTCTGCCAAGGTGCACTTCATTGGCTGATCCCCTAGAGCTCAGTCATGGCAGGCTGCAAAGGCCAAGAAGCAGGCCAGTGTGTTCAGGACATGATAGAAATGTCAGCTCCCGTATCTAATAACCCCTTAAAGAGTTTTCCCTGAATAGATAACACTAATTCTGGGTGTCCCTTTCCTATTTGTTGTACCCAATAGGCTTTATCAGATGACCCAAACCCTTACTCTCCCCATGGGGTATTTTGAAGAACCTTACCTGTAATTAAAAGAGGGACCAATACTAGTTGAGCTATTTTCTTTTTTTTTTTTTTTAAAGATGACTGGTAAGGGGATCTTAACCCTTGACTTGGTGTTGTCAGCACCACGCTCACCCAGTGAGCGAACCGGCCATCCCTATGTGGGATCCGAACCCGTGGCCTTGGTGTTATCAGCACCGCACTCTCCCGAGTGAGCCACAGGCCGGCCCTAGTTGAGCTATTTTCATGTCAGGAGAGACAGTGATGATTCCTTGCCCTGCAGCAGCCATAACTTGTATCTCTCCAGTATAATCAGAGTCAATGACTCCAGGAAACACCTGAAGACCTTTTAAAGTAAGGCTGCTCCATCTCAAGATGATTCCTACACTGCTTGAAGGTAAAGGGCCAAATATACCAGTATAGCTTGTGGTCCCATAGTAGGAGTTAACACAAACCAAGCTGTGGGGCTGAGATCCAATCCTCCACTTCCTCTGGTTGCCCAGGAGAGGTCAGCGATGGTTTTTTGGAAGCCAACTCCAGAATTTGGGGAAGACAGATGGACATGACCGCCATTGTTTGATGGGGCTGGGCCAGGCCCCATTTCCTGTTTCCCTGCTGGGGAAGAGGCCAACCTTCTACCATGGTTTTGGGATGGTATTCATTAGCCCAGTGGTGCCCCCTCCGACATCTTGGGCAGATATTTGGAGCAGGTATGGAAGGGGAGTTATCAGGAATGGAAGCTTGATTAGGACATTGCTTTGCAAAAAACCTCCTTTTCCGCATTTAAAACATGTTTTGGATCTATGCCTTGGATCCTTTTTTCCTTGCTCTCTAAAATATTGAGAGGGCATTATATTTTGTAAGGCAGTGGCAAAAGCTACCCCCTGCATGTATGAGGGCCCAATATCCTCACAGAGACGGACATAGTCAGAAATTGTCCCCTTCTTATGATAAGGGCAAACAGCAGTCTGGCAAGCCGAATTGGTGTTTTCACAAGCCAGCTGCTGGGTCAGCAGCATTCCAGCCTCCCCATCTACCACTAGGCATCCCACGGCCTGTAACAAATGGGACAAGAAATCCTGATATGGCTCATCAAGACCCTGACTGATCTTTCTAAGTTCTTCCATTGTAGTGCCGGCCGTGGGAACCTCCTCCAAGCTTGCTGGACAATGGTATTAATCTGTTGGTAAACATCAGCGGAGAATCCTAACTGTTGTACCACTGTGGAGAAATCACCCTCACCAGCCAACATATCAAAAGGACTTCAAGTCCTTCTCTGTGATTGCACTCAGATTGTTCCTGAGCACATTCAGAAAACTCTGATTTCCACAAAATGTATTCGCCTCCACTAAGACAGGCTTTTGCTATACTTTTCCAATCTGCTGGGGAGAGAGCATTGACCACATTGTCTCAAGTAAGCTCAAAGTAAAGTGAGCAGTAGCCCCATACTGCAAGACCATTTATGATTTCCATGGCAGAACTTCATCAGACGGTCAAAAGCCAACAAAAAGTCAGGGGACTCAATGGCCAAAGGTGGGGGTGAAGGCAATGGCTCGGCAGGAAGTAATTCCGCCTTACTATCTATTTCCTCTTTATCCTCTATCTCTTCAGTGCATTCCCTAATCAAAGTTTTTTCAATAACATCAGTGGGGGAAGAAAGTATATCAGAAACTTCAATAGGTTTAGAGACGGTTGAGACCACAGGGACTTTAGAAGCCTCATGGCCAAGATGCAAACAGTCTCTGATCAAATTCCATAAAGAAAAGGTGTCAACAGGGACCTTAGAAGGACCCACAGCACAATAATGTTCTCTGAGCTGTCTCCCATCATGTTCCCAAGTTTCTTCTAAGTGAACAATAGAGACCTTGCAGCCCCGGGCTTTAAGCATAGGTTTCAAAACTTGGAGAAAGAGATCCAGCTCTTTGCTCCCTCTTTGTCCCATTAGTTTTGCTCCTGACTATCTGACTATATGCCTTCATTCCTGTTCCGGTGCGGGCGCGACACTGAGGGTTGCGATCCGTTGCCGGACACGAAAAAAAGACAAAAAAGGAAAAAAAAATAAAAATAAAAATAAACAGAATAGGTGCACGCCCTAAAACATGAAGGTTTCCAAGAAGTTTCTCCATACTCCGGTCCCTGTTTGGGCGCCATTTGTTGCCAACCAGTACCCCGAGGGGAGATGGTGGGATATGAAGAGACACACTTTATGAGATCAGGAAGACCTTACAGGCTGATGACCTGCAAGGTATCTCAGTTTATTTTGGGTTCCTTTTTATAAGCCAGTGAAAATAACAAATCATACTGACTAAATCAATTATATCAGGTACCAAACTATCAATAGAACATTTTCAGCTGCCACAGCACTTGAAGATTCATGGCTAACTACTTAAAAACAAAATAAGAACATAAGTTTCTCATTTACAAAGCTCTCAGGGTCCTGGGTTCAATCAAAGGTCAGACCTCAAAGGGAGGGAGAAGGGGGAAAAAGTCAAAATGGGAAGCCAGCCTTGCTGGCTTATCCCCTAGAATAGCAGAGACTTTGTCATCTTGCTATTTAGTACCTCACATTCGGCCCTTCCTTATGAGAACACTCTACAGTTTTGGACACCCTGAGTGTGGAATAAGGGATGGCACTTTTCTCTGAAAATGAATACAGCTGCCTGAGGTGGGAGGGACTTCTCCAACTGAGGGCCTCTCACTGAGGCCCTATGCCTATGAACAGGCACTCAGTCTAGGGTTCTGCTCCGTCCCCGCTCGCAACTGCCTGACTCCAAGAGAGGAGTGGCTGTGGGGATTCAGAGCCCCCTGCAATCTTCTTCCAATTCTCTTGTTTCTGTGCAAAGCAAGAGTAAGAAGAAAAGTAGAACAGAAGGAAGAACTGGGGATCAGGGAGAGGTCAGCATGCTAGGGGTGCAGACCCCCTCAGAGTAGCTGAGGGCTCTGACCGCAGGGGCTGTGGCCAGATGCTGTCTCAGGGTCCCTGAACCACAGGGCAACGCTTGCTCAGGCTCCCAAGAGGTCCTGCCCATGTCTGGGCTGTGACCACAGTTCACGCTCCCTCCTGCTCTTGGCCAGCCACCAGCAGTTCTGCTCTGTGGAGCAGCCCTTCCCTGTGACAGTGCAGCTGCTGCTCTCTCGGTGCAGGGCTCATTCATCCACACAGGTGAGACACCCTGCTCCTGCCCCAGCGGGGCCACTGCTTAAGGAAAAGTGGGGCTCTGGCTACACATGCAAAGGAGAAGCCCTATGCATGTCTTGATTGTAGACGGCTCTTTGCCTTCCCCTCCTGTGGGTCAGACACAGGAAAATCCACTCTGGTGACCATCCCCATGTTTGTGGTTCATGTAGTATCCACTTCTCTCAGAGGGCTCACCTGGTCCAGTACCAGCTGCTCCATACTGGGGACAAGCCCTACCTGTGCCCCAACCGTGGCCTCCTGTTCCCCCGAGCAGGGCCCTGTCTGTGCATAGATGCAGAGGTGTGTGCACAGGCCGCCTTGCTAGCTAACCCTCCCTCCTGGCCAGCCACTGGCATGTGCGCTTAGGCAAGCACTGCCACCATTGCCTACAATGTGGAACTCACTTTGCTGGCTGGGACTCTTGCTCCAGCACCAGCTCACCCACACAGGAAAGAAACCCTGCTGGTGCTCTGACTGTGGTGGTGGGTCCGACAAAGAGGCTCCCTTGGCCATTTCTAGGGTGTGCACACCCCAAGTGAGAACTCTGACCCCTGCCCAGACTAGGACATCTGCTTCCCCTACTCCTCCCTCCTGCTCAGCCACAGGTATATCCACTCTGATAAGAGGCCCTTTCCCTGCACCAGTGTGGGAAAAGCTTCAAGATAAGTATGCCCTGAAAGCTCACCCATACACCCATCAGGCCACCAGAGACAGGCAAAGATGTGGAGAAATCTTGGTCAGTCCCTGTGCCAACCTGCTGATCTCAGGGATCAGGACCCCCCAGTTCACGTCTGCTAGTTCTCAAGTAAATTCCAGGAGTGCGGGTGACCTGGGTCAGGAGCTGTGAAGGAACTCCTGATGGAAGATATCCTTCCTCATCAAGTATTGGGGAAGGCCATGGAGAGCAAGCAGGGCATGACAAAGAGGAAGAAAGGGGGAGATGCACCAAGTGGCAAGGTTTGTAGGTACCTGCAAGTCTCCCTTCAGAGAGCAGGACATAGAGGTGATCAGAAATGTAACAGGGCCTGCCTGTGGCTCACTCGGGAGAGTAAGGTGCTGATAACACCAAGGCCACGAGTTCGGATCCTATATGGCTGGTTAGCTCACTGATTGAGCGTGGTGCTGACAACACCAAGTAAAGGGTTAAGATCCCCTTACTGGTCATCTTTAAAAAAAAAGAAATGTATCAGTGAGGGACATGTCACTCTGCAAGGTACAGGTTGAAACTGGACCACACAAATCTGGTAAGAAAAGGCAAGACTCTTGTATTCCCTCCCCAGGGACTACCACCGCTGGCCTGATCTGGGTGGATGGCGCAATGGCATCTTAGGCCAAGGTTGGGTCCAGTCGGTCTGTAAGGTGAAACCTACATGTGCGCTTCCAATTGCTTCCCCTCGCTGAGCATAAAACAAGGAGGAATCCCTGAAAGCTTGTCACCCAGTTTAGCTGCCAGTGCAATGCAGAGGACATTCCAGGTTCAAATCTCATCCCTGCCTTTACTAACAGATTTTGAGCAAGCTGCTCAAGTTTTTGATAGCTGTGGTATAAGGATAATTGTCCTCATAAGGACTCTGGAAGGTGAGTTTCAACTGAGATCATCTATATCAACATCTCGGGTAATTAGTTGGCCCTCGACACCATTTCCCTTTACCCAGAACAGGGTGCCTTAGGCCTTCATGTGTCCTCGGGTCTGCAGACTCCCTGGATCGTCCCTACCCTTCTCTGCAGCGGTCCATTGTCCTTCAAGAGGAGCCCTGCTTGTTCCCATGCCCAGTGTGGATTCAGGAATTTGTACAGAAGGGAGCATTAAGTCCTGGTTACTTTTTAAAAAGTGTTTTCCTACAGATAAGCGCATCTGACTCTGCCTGATTCCTCGGTTAGCGGCTCCCACTGAGATGATGGCAAGCCTGGCCCAAGAAAAGGTACTCTATGCAGAAAGAGTAGGCACAAAGCTATCAGTTCACCCTGCAAACTACCAGAAGTTGCAAAATTCCTAAAACATTGTGAGGTCTTTTACGTCTATAGACTGACTTAGGAGCTCCCCAGTGTACAGGATGAAGCCCTCCAATATCTGGTACCAATTTACCCTTTCAGTCTTTTAGTTTTACCGTTAAGTGTATTTTACTACATCAGCAAGTATCTTTATTCCCTTCACAGCCAGGTCACTCCTGAATTCCTGGTTTTGTGCCAGAGCCTTCTATGGCCACAGAATTCAGCTGTTTTTTCAGCACATGTATATTGAGCACCACTGCCCTCTCTAAATCCTACCTTTTCCTAGACCAAACTCATTCCCCATCTGATGCATCGATCTCAAAATTCATTCAGAGGAGGGATTCTGTCGTTACTCATCCTGGCAATTCTGACATTCCACCAGTTCCCCCTGACTCCAGTAGTTCAATAGACAAATACTCATCCCCAGGTCACAGTAGAACTCAATGAATATTACCTGCAGTTTTTTCTACCATCTCTGTTCAGACACCTCCTTCCTCAGAATGTCTCACCGCCTGTCTTATTTTGTGACTTTTCCTGTCACATTATTCGTCTTTATTCCTTGAAGGCTTTAAGGTTAGTATTTTGCCCATGGTAGGTGCTTTAAAATATTGGTTAATGGGTTAGAGAGACAGAAGTGTATGTCGCCAGCTGAGGTAAGAGATGTGGCAAATGATATATTCTCCTGCCTCCAGTACCCCTGGGAAATGGCATTGAGCTGGTGAAACTCTGCACCATCACCCTTACACAGAAGTGGGGGGCAAAGGGATGGGTGCTGACTGGTTCCATCAGCAATTTTCTGTGCCTTTCACATACATGCTGGTATCATTCTGTTATCATGAGTTGTGAATTTATATGCCTCACTAGACTATAAACTTCATTCAAAATATGGCCCCTGGCTTATTTCTGAAACCCTGCCTCTCCTAACCGCCTAGCAGTATGCTTTGTACATTGAATAAATATTATGTACAAATAATGCATGGAGATTATTCAGAAGATTGAACCTGAAGAGAGACGAAGGGCTCAGGTGGATTCCTGAGTTAGCAAGCAAATAAGCATAGCCAGAAGGAAGGATGACGAGTTCAGTGGTATGAATAAAGGCCTGTCGGTCCCGCATTTAAATCTTTGTCCCTCCTCCTTACTAGCGATATGACCCTGGAAGCTCATGGAATCCCTCTGAGATCGTTTCTTCATTTGAACCCGGAACGGTAACCATCAGCTCACAAAATGGTAGCAAAGAATCAATAAGATGAAATGTGTATTACGTTGGGCACGGCTCCTGCCCCCCAGATAACGCTAACCTTAATTCCCTTCTCAAAAGGGCAAGAAGGAAGTTAACCATCGTCCAAAGCGAAGGCCTCTCTGAGAAAGCTACAAAAAAGAACCCCGGGTTGGCCAGAGGGGCTCTGTCGCTCAAGTCATTTCCTCCAGAGATAGGCCGAGTCTGCCAGAGAAGAACAGTGGAAAACAACCCCAAGGCCTCTTACTGATTGATCCCAGGTCCCCGCAACCGACTTCAGAACTCACTGTGGTCACCCGACACTGAAGGTCCAGCTTCTTGCCCTTACGCATCCGTTGGCTTCGTTCAAACAGGCCGCCTTCTCCAGCGCCCAATCAGTACGCTCGATCCTCGGCCGCCGCCCAATCAGCGCGTGTGATGGGAGGAAAAAAAAAGAGAGGGCGTGAAGCAGCGCCGCAGCGCCATTACACTTGAGGGCAGAGAGGTTAGGAAGCCGGCATGGCGCTCCGGTCAATAAAATCGATAGCTGGAAGCTGCCTGTGTTCCAGGCAAAGGCGGTGCAACAGCAGCGCCGCCATTTTCCCCGAAGGCATCTTCCGGTGCCTTTCACCCAAGTTCGGGCAGGAGTTTCCTGAATAACAGCGAAAGGTTTCCATTAGCCCCGCAGGCGGCCGAGTCCGATTCCCGCCGGGCCTCCCCGGCCACGCTCAGCCCTGGTCCGGCTCCTAAACCCCGGAGTCCGCCCGCGCCCAGGGTCCGAGGTCGGGACGGGGAAGGCCGTGGCGCCGGCTTCTCGGGTCCAATGGCGCCGCCTTCGGCTCCGCTCTCCGCGCGGGGACCAGGAGAAGCCGGGCCCAGTCGGAGAAGGGGAAGGAGGCCGAGGGCCGTGAGGTTCGCGGACGTGGCCGTGTACTTCTCCCCGGAGGAGTGGGGGTGTCTGCGGCCCGCGCAGAGGGCCCTGTACCGGGACGTGATGCGCGAGACCTACGGCCACCTGGGCGCGCTCGGTGAGGCCCGGCCCAATCCGCTTCCGCGGGGCACGAAGGGATGGGGGAGATTGGGGGCGGGGGGAGGGCAGGGAGTCCAGGGTCCTGGCCTGCCACCAGGTTGTTAGGGAAGGGGGCAGGGGCTCGGCGGCAGATGCCGTCGGGTAGATATTTGCTCAGTGCTATCTAGGAGCTGGCCCTCTGACTGGTTCTCCTTTCCCAGGGTGCGCAGGTCCCAAACCATCTCTCATCTCCTGGTTGGAACGAAATACAGATGATTGGGAACCGGCTGCCCTGGATCCGCAGGAGTATCCGAGACGGGTAACAGTCCAGAGAAGTGAGTGGAAAATGCCCACGGAGAGCCTGCAGCCCTCCTGTACCGTTCTAACTGCCAATGACTCAGCCCAGAGTTTTGGCCTGGCTAGGTGTACCCATGACCCAGGCTGTGGTGCTGGGTTTGGTGTTTATTTTCACGGTCTCTGGGTCGTGTCTGTGTTGGTGTGGGCTCGGTCCACCATACAAAGATTCCCATGCTGGTTTGCAAACTAACCACCAACAGTTCTCCATTGTGTAAATGAATCAGCGAGCTTTTCAAAGCAGCTACCCTCCAGCATCCTTCCCAGGATCCCTGCCCGCAGCGTCCTTTGAACTGGGCCTGGACTGAGAGACCCTAAACTCCTTGCAGTTTTCTGGGTTTGGGCTGAAGGGGTCATGGGGAGCCGCTGCCTGGGATGCAGGGGCCTCTTTCTGCTCTTATGACAGAATGACCCTAACCAGTGCAGGACATATTGTGTTCTACTCAGCCAGGCTAACGCCATTCCAAGAGCTCCAGATCCACCCAAAGGGGCAGATGGAACTGTCTGGGCTGGAGTTTCTGTGCTAGATTCTCTAAGGCCAGGGATATCTGAAAAGATTCAGATCTGACCATGACATTTCATTGCTTAAAACCTTTCAGTTAGTTTTTGCCAAGGCTTTCAGGTGGCTCTTGGTTGTATCTAAGTCATTTGGGGAACTTGGTAAAAATACAGATTCTGGGACCCCATCCCAGAACTATTGATTCACGCTTGTGGATTCAGTGGATGTCTAGGAACTTGTATTTTTTGTAACAGCCCCAGTTGATTTGGATGTGCATCTAAGTTCGAGGACCATTGGATAAAATATAGTCCAAGGTCTTTAACAGTGCTTACGCAGTGCTTCTTAAAGTTTGGTCCCAGACCAAACAATATAGTCCAAGGTCTTTAACAGTGCTTACGCAGTGCTTCTTAAAGTTTGGTCCCAGACCAGCAGCTGGTCCCAGACCAGTTCTTGAGTCTCAAGAACTGGTCAGAAATGAAAAGTGCTTCTTAAAGTTTGGTCCCAGACCAAACTTCTGGGCTGGCTGGTTAGTTCAGTTGGTTAGAGCAGTGTTGTAACACCAAGGTCAAGGGCTTGGATCTCCATACCCGCCAGCCACCAAAAAAAAGAAAGAAAAGAAATGCAAATTGTTGGACCCTACTCCAGACCTGCTGCATCCAAAACTGGCAGTAAGACCCAGCAATCTGTTTCAATAAGCCCTCCAGGTGATTCTGATCACAATAAAGTTTGGAAACCATTGGCTTAGAGGGTGTTATGACCTAGTCACTGCCAGCTCATACCTCATTTGTTTCCACTTCCTGCCTTACCCTTTTTGTCTAAGAAGATCTTACACTTGTGTGCACTGCACAGTTATCCTAGGGACTTTGTGCTGTGTCCGCTGCCTGGTCTGCCATTTCAACCTTTATAAGCACGGTGCTCTAACTAGCTGAGCTAACTGGCCAGCCCCCATTTTAACCTTTATAACACTCCATTATGTTATTTCATCTTTTAAGAATCAGATAAATTGGGCCAGCCTGTGGCTCACTCGGGAGAGTGTGGTGATGATAATACCAAATCACAAACATAGGGGCACTCACCAGAATGCGCTCGCCGGTGGCTGACCAGCAGGGATGGGTAGGAAAAGCGGCGCCCACAGTCTGGGCAAGGGTAAGGCTTTTTCAGATTCTGGGCACACTTGTGGCTCTCCAGGGCCGGGTGATCAGGGAAAGTACAGCCACAGTCAGGGCAGATGGGGCCACCGGACGTCTGCCTGGGGATCAGTCGGGGTTTGCTGGGCCGCCGCCCCCGTTTCCCCTTTCGGGGTGCCTCCTTCGGTGGGAATACTTCCTTCTCCCCATTCTTCTTTCTGGTTCTGGTTTCTATAGGAACACAAGGAGATATTAATTTAACAAATACGTGGCTCCTACCCTTGCCTATTATATGTTGCAGGTTACTAGGCCAATAGACTCAACCTCAGTCCTCAATTGTTAGTGCCACAACGGCTGGCTGGTTGGCTCAGTTGGTTATAACGCTGAGGTCAAATCAGCTAAATCCCTGTACTGGCCAGCCACCAAAAAAAAAAAAAAGAATCAAGCTAAAGTTAGGGTTCAAATCCTCATACTGGCTAGCTGCTAAAAAACAAAACAAAAAAGAATTAGCTAAGTTAAATAAACTATGGCTCATTCACAATGGAATTCTGTGTAACTGTAAAATAGAATAAGGACACGTGCTGACATAGAACAATCTTTAGAATATATTAAGGGAAAAAAGACGGTATAGTCAAGTATGGATAAAGTGTGCTTATGTTATCTTTTATGTAAGAAAGGTGGGGGAAGAGAATATATGTTTTATTGCATAAAAAACACTGGGAGAAACTAATTAATGTGGTATCTGTGGGGTAGAGGGGGACGAGGGTGGGAGCAAGACTTCTCTGTGTTCTTTCTAAAATATTTTGACTTTTAGAAAAACAAAGAGAAAAATAAGTTTTGACTTTTGAACCATGTAAGCTCCTCACCTCTTTAAATATTCAGTTTTTGCAGTCAGCTTAAACTCCTTCAAGAAAATCTTCTCTGAATTCTCCAGGCTTGTTTAGGGGCTCCTATAATACCCTCCGTTTTTCCATAATAGCATGTCACACTTAGCTGTCTGTGGCACTAACTTTTTTTTTTTTTTTGGTGGCTGGCCAGTAGGGGGATCCGAACACTTTGACCTCAGCGTTATAACCAACTGAGCCAACCAGCCAGCCGTTGTGGCACTAACAATTGAGGACTGAGGTTGAGTCTATTGGCCTAGTAACCTGCAACATATAATAGGCAAGGGTAGGAGCCACGTATTTGTTAAATTAATATCTCCTTGTGTTCCTATAGAAACCAGAACCAGAAAGAAGAATGGGGAGAAGGAAGTATTCCCACCGAAGGAGGCACCCCGAAAGGGGAAACGGGGGCGGCGGCCCAGCAAACCCCGACTGATCCCCAGGCAGACGTCCGGTGGCCCCATCTGCCCTGACTGTGGCTGTACTTTCCCTGATCACCCGGCCCTGGAGAGCCACAAGTGTGCCCAGAATCTGAAAAAGCCTTACCCTTGCCCAGACTGTGGGCGCCGCTTTTCCTACCCATCCCTGCTGGTCAGCCACCGGCGAGCGCATTCTGGTGAGTGCCCCTATGTTTGTGATCAGTGTGGCAAACGTTTCTCCCAGCGCAAGAACCTCTCCCAGCACCAGGTTATCCATACAGGCGAGAAGCCCTACCACTGCCCTGACTGTGGCCGCTGCTTCCGGAGGAGCCGGTCTTTGGCCAATCACCGGACCACGCACACGGGTGAGAAACCCCACCAGTGCCCTAGCTGCGGGCGTCGCTTCGCCTACCCCTCCTTGCTAGCCATCCACCAGCGCACACACACGGGAGAGAAGCCCTACACCTGCCTGGAGTGCAACCGCCGCTTCCGCCAGCGCACTGCCCTGGTCATCCACCAGCGCATCCACACTGGCGAGAAGCCCTACCCGTGTCCAGACTGTGAGCGACGTTTCTCCTCATCCTCTCGCCTGGTCAGTCACCGGCGTGTGCACTCTGGGGAGCGTCCCTACGCCTGCGAGCACTGCGAGGCCCGCTTCTCCCAGCGCAGCACGCTGCTCCAGCACCAGCTCTTGCACACAGGGGAGAAGCCCTACCCCTGCCCAGACTGTGGACGTGCCTTCCGGCGGAGCGGCTCCCTGGCCATACATCGCAGCACACACACCGAGGAGAAGCTGCATGCCTGTGAAGACTGTGGTCGCCGCTTCGCCTACCCCTCACTGCTAGCCAGCCACCGGCGTGTGCACTCAGGCGAGCGGCCCTATGCCTGCGACCTTTGCTCCAAGCGCTTTGCCCAGTGGAGCCACCTAGCTCAGCACCAGCTCCTGCACACTGGGGAGAAGCCTTTCCCCTGCCTTGAGTGTGGCCGATGCTTCCGCCAGAGGTGGTCTCTGGCCGTCCACAAGTGTATCCCCAAGGCCCAAAACTGTGGCCCTAGATCTGCTATCGGGGGGCCCAGCCAGAGAGGCAGTGTTCTTTAGAATGGGAAGGACTGTATAAGTTCATTTCATTTCATGGAGGGGCCCAGGAAAGAGAAGGAAAAAAAAGACTTAGGTCATACGGAGCAGAGTCAGAATAAAACCCAGGTCTCCTGCTCCACTGGCCTGAACTTGAGTATATTCCACCGCAATGACTGCCTTACTGTGCGTGTCTAACAACAGTCCTATTAGGAGAGGTGACATCATGTCGTTAAGGTTTACCAGGCTACCCTATCCTAAAATAATTTGTGTATGTGGATGTCAAAGCTAAAAGTTCTCCCCATCTATTTTAGGGGCTGTCTGCTTTTCTAGTTAGTGCATATGGGGATTACCTGTCCCCTTGCCTGCAGTCGGGAGAATCCCATCTGTAGAGGGCAGGACCTTCCCCTACTCTGCCTCTTCCTCCATACCAAGTTGGAAAAACCTGGTTTAGGGCCGAGCCCGTGGTGCACTCGGGAGAGTGCGGCGCTGGGAGCGCAGCAGTGCTCCCGCCGCGGGTTCGGATCCTATATAGGGATGACCGGTGCGCTCACAGCGCTCACTGGCTGAGCGCGGTGCGGCCGGTCTCAAAAAGGACAAAAAAAAGAAAAACCTGGTTTAGCTTACTTTTTACAACACTCCTGCCGACTGGTCTTCTACTCCTTGCTTGAAAACTTCTGTTGACAGGGAGTTCAGTAGCTCACAAGGCAGGTCATTTCATTGGTGATGGCGCTGATTTTTAGAAAGTTAAATACCACATCCTTCTCTGTAAATTCTTTCCAGAATATGTCTGATACTTCATCTACATGGCAGCCCTTCAGATAACTTAATCACAATCACTTTTCCCCTAAGCTTTCAGGTTAAATAGCACTAATTTGGTCAAGCATTCCTTAAAGACAAGGTTTCAATTCCCACACATCTCTCTCCAAACAGGCACTGGTTTTTCAATATTCCTTTTAAAGGATCATACAAAAATAAGGCAGCACCTGCAGTGTACACTGTATATCTCCTTGGTCTGTACTTGTTTTAACAGCTCTAGGTTGCACTGGATTTGGAGACAGCTGCACTGTACCAGGGGTTTATTGGGTTGCAAACATCTAAATGCTCTAAGCTTTTTTTCTCTAAACCACATACTATAAAGCTAAGTCTTCTTCACCCTGTGTTTGGAAAATTGGTTCAGTCTGGGTATGAGATATAAGCACGGTAAGCTTTGGGAGAAGATTGGTCTTAACGAAAAGCAGGAGACTTGTGGTCTATCAGCAAGAAGTGAAAATGGGACTGCACCTAGTTCCAGGCAGTCTGGAAAATCCTTGAGAACTGGATCTTATTCCTCCCTGATTCTCATTAGAATAAAGAGAATCAGCAAAGAAGCTTCCATGAGGCCTCAGTCAACATTTTTTCATAAAATGAGGTGAGGCCATTCAAGGAGGGTGGAAAGTTAGATAACTGAATATGGAGAGGAAGAGTGTACAGTCATCAAGTTGTGTCCATGCCTGCCTGCCTCACATAAGCTACTGAGGGCAGTGGCAGCAGTGTGTCTTAATCCTTGATACGCCTCCATGGCACCCACTGAGTAGGTGCTCAGTAAAGCTTTACTGAATTAAATGTGAACAAGGCCTACCACTTTGTCTTGGGCAGCTGCACCAAATTGGAATTTCCAAACATGACTCTCTCATATTCCAGCAGCTGGAGTGGGTCACGCTCCTACCCGGTTGCCTCTTCCTACAGCTGCCCTGGCCTCAGCCCGACTGAGGAGCAGCTGGGGAACACAGCGTTTTGTAATTACCTCTGTTTGGGTGTTTAGCAAGTTGCATTGTAACTGTTTGTTTGTTTCTCCTTGGATGATGAGCTACCCCCAGGCAGGGGTCGTACCAGATTGGGACCCAATAAAATATCTGATGAACGAATCATGTTGCTTGTGGAATTGCTTTTTACAAAATGTAAAGCTAGCTCCTTGACAAGTAGAAATTTTTACTGTTCTGGTGGAGATCTGGCCCCTCACACTGGGAGAGCTGCTCTGCCCTCGCAGGTACCTATCAGGATGTCTGCTAGCCCCTGTGTTAGAACTGGCTCTCTCCCCTACCCTTTATCACCAGGCTGACCAAAGTATTTCCTCACCTAGCAATTTCATAACTTTCTTTGGGCCTGGATTGTAATTCATAAAACTTGGGAGCCATTGGTGCCTAAATTCCATTATGTGGTCTGTGGAGAGCAGAAATGAGAGACAGCTTCCTAGGTTCCCTAAGGCACTTTGGTCCCAGGGTCCTTTCGATGACCAGCTGTGATCCTGGCCCTGTACTCAGTGAGAGAGCCCAGTATCCTTCTAATATATTCCCCTTTTTGCTTAAGAGGAAATTGAGTTTGTTACTTGGAACCAAAAGAATTGACTAATACATATCTCCAATCTGGGTTACTCTCTCATGTGCCTTCATGCCTATATATGAGCTGTGGAGAAAAAAAAAAATCTATGGTGCTATTGAGAGGGGCCATACCTTTCCTGATCTCCAACCTGTTAAGCCTTCAATGTTATGTCTTTCATATACCCTTAACCAGTGAATGTCTCTTTCACCAAGGAAACCAGGTGTCAAATAGGAACTCCTTCAACATTCCACTCCCCACCCCGACTCCAAATTTACCTGTGTGACCACTTGTACTTGCTCCCATCGTACGTCAGGCGAAGTCCTCACATGCAGTGTTCGTCACCATAGCTGTGCCTGAATTTCATCCATGTCTGCCCCCCACAGGGCCTTTGCTCCATCTATTACTTCTTCCCTCTCCTCTTTCAGTTTTGTGATTTGAGAGTCTCTCATCCCAAACACACACACTCCAGCCTATAAACATGCTAAGATCTGTCTTTATTTATTTGGTTTTTGGCAGCTGGTCGGTGAGGGGATCCGAACCCTTGACCTCAGGGTTACCAGCAGATTTGTCTTTAAAACAATAAAAAAGAACTTTCCCTCTGGCCTCAGTCCCCATATCCTATTTTCAGCCAAGTTTCTTGAAGCAGTAGCCTACATTCACTATCCACTTCTGTTTATTCTCTGGCCTACTGCAATATTATTAATAGCCACTTGATTGAGCTTTTATGATGTGCCACATGCTGTGCTAAGCACTTTATATACATTCCAATCTAATATTTACAAGAACCCTATTAAGTAGGTGTCCTCCATGGGTCTCTCACATTTCCACACATCTGCTTAGTAATTCTCAGATTTAAGCCAATTTACAGACCTAGGGCCACTTGAATGAAGAGGAGGCTGGGTCCCCTTGATGGAGGACCACGCTATATTGGAAAGAGATATGCTGCAGATCTTCTTCCCAGCCTTTTCCAAATGTACCTACAGCCGTTTCCCAGGGTTACTGGGCATTGGAGAAGGGGGAGTAACTACAGTTTTTAGGGAATACTGAACATTGGATCTAAACTGGTTCTAATTCTAGGAGATCCAAAATATCATTGTAGTTCACCAGGCACAGTGGACTCCTGGAGCTCAAGTGTGTGCAGGAAGGGGTTAACTCAGCAGCTGTCGGTTGCTCAAACCCTGCACATTCCAAAGAAAGCTCATCTTCAGGAATGGCACTTGGCCCACTCCTGGGAAATAAATTCTGAGCCCTTGGGATATTTTATCTGATTAGTGTTTTTGTATGCTGGATATCTTGGGTCATGCCATACCAATCTGACTAGATAAGTTTATCCTAACAATGTGATAATGTGATTTATAGTGAATGCCTGTTTTTGCTCTGGGGGGCAGGGGTCTGAGTAGCTGAGGTCAGTTATGTGGGTACTCCAACCCTATGTGACAGACACCAAAAACCCTGGACACCAAGGCCCTCATTGGAAACAATTCGCACAGGTCACAAATCACTGCTGGGAGAATTAAATGCATTCCTGTGCAACTCCACTGGGAGAAGACCCCTGAAAGTTTGCTCATGGTTTCTCCCGTACTTTGCCCCATTAGCTTTTCCCTTGGCCAATTTTAATCTGTATCCTGCGCTTTAATAAACTATTATTGTGAGTATAACAAAGAACTAAATAAATAAGGAAAGCCCTAGCCACTTTTTACCCAGGCCATTTCTCAGGGTTGTGTTTGTAGCAAGCCTCCATTTGGGACAAAGAGCAGTTTGCTTAGTGCCTGTAACAGCAGGTTCCCCAAGCTCTTTTTCCCTCCCTGTAATGCAATTCACTGCAAGCCCTGCCTCCATCTGGGCTCCTCTATTTTGCCTCTGTGAGACTTGGGAGGCAAAAGGAACCAACACTTCCATGCTCATGCTGCCTGTTGTGCTATGAACAATAAGGTCTTTTGTTCTGACCCAGGAACCTCTTTTCTGTCAGTACCCATGAAACAGTAACAGACTAACTTATTAACTTGCAAGTAGGGTAGCCTCAAATTCCAGACCTGAGTAGGTATTATTTCCCTTTAACCGATGAGGAAACTGAGGCTCAGTGATATTAAATAACTTGCCTAGGAACACATAAATGTATCTGATAATTCTGAGAGCCAGGATTTCAAGCCAGGTCTTACTCCAAAGACAGCTACTACACAAGGTGCTGTTCCACTAAAACTGTCCTTTAAGATGAGTGATAACCCAATTACCAAATCAGTACTTCAGTTTTTAATCTTATTTGTCTTAGTTTTCCTACTCAAACTCTTTTGTAATTTAGCTCTCATGCCCTATATTTTTCTAGTCTTTGGTGTCTCTTGTGGTTCCTTCTAGTGTACACACGAGGAAATTCCTAACCAGCATTTCTGGGGAAATGTATATGTTTTTCCAAATCCCAAGAACAATCATTCAAGAAATTAGGAAAATGCAAAAAGTATTATAATTCTCCTGTGAGAATTAAAGCTTAACAATCAACACAGAGAAGTTACTAGTTTGAAGGATATGACTGAAAGCAGATAATGAAACATCATCTGACACACACAGTTGCTGACAAAGAACTGAAAGTTAATGTCAACATTTCTGGGAAAGGGATAGGAGTACCTAGAAGAAAAGATGTCACATAATGGGTATGATCAGGCAGTCTTCCTTATGGCTATTGTCATCTTATGTCTGTCTGCTGTCACCGTGAATCATTCTTGTAAATATAATATACCATAGCATACTTAGTACAAATCTCATTACTATGCAGGTTGTGACATTGTGATTTTTTGTGCATGTGTGGTAAACTACATATAATAGGCATGCCCGTGGCTTACTTGGGAGAGTGTGGTGCTGATAACACCAAGGCCACGGGTTCAGATCCCTATATAGGGATGGCCAGTTAGCTCACTTGGGAGAGCGTGGTGCTGATAACACCAAGTCAAGGGTTAAGATCCCCTTAATGGTCATCTTTTTGGAAAAAAAAAAAAAAAACCCACATAAAACTTACCATATTGACCATTTTTAAGCATACAGTTCAGTGGCATTAAGTACATTCACAATGTTGTGTAACCATCACCACTATTTCCATAACATTTTCATCATCTCAAACAGAAGCCCTGTGCCCACTAACCAATAACTCTCTATATCCACCTTTCCCCA